AAGACGTAATAAATAGGCATCATAGTAATTGACTTCATTTCAGCTTAGAAAGTGTACATAATTTTTCAATCCAGCGTAAATGTAGCTCGACAAGTACTTCAAATCGTTTAAATAATCGTCACGCTATTATAAACATCCATTAAAAATGTTTAGTTGCAGATAGAATATTTAAAATTTCATCTCATCGTAGCGACTGTTAGCATCAAGTTAAGTTTAAAAAGAAAGTAATTGGCAAAAATATACTCTTTTGAACAACTTTTAGAAACAAATCGATAATAAGAATCAATGTTAGGTAAAATTGATTGTCATTAACTACAAAAGTGCAAAACCTATTTTTAGAGTGTATTATGACCAATATTTTATTGTTCGTTTGTTGAGCAAGACCGATATATGTAAATGATCTTTGTACAAGTGTAAACACGCTTGTTTTTATTTTTAAAAATCAAATGTCATAGATACTTATTTTTTTAAGATTTTGTTCATCAAATTAATTTAATTCCTTAAATCTCATTTTTATTTACAGTTTCTCATTTTGGTGTTTAACCTTTCATTAGTGTGTAAACATATGTATGTAGCACAATTCATCTAAATGTGTTTTAACTATTTAAGCTGTTAGAATTTTCATCAAAATTGCATTCATTGTTAAATCTTATGTTGAATGGAGGCTTTCAAAAATAGACAAGTAAACGATACATGCTAATATTTCACATTGTTTCAGTATTTCTTCAGACATACTTTTTTATCCCTTCTCTGATCATTTTCTCAATATTTGGTCCTTCCTACTAGCAGTGCTACTACAGCTTTTCTGAATTCTTTTCTAGTCATTATGTTTATTTCATCTCTTTTTGCTCATGTAGTATAACAGCTTATACTAAAGCATACTCGTGCTAGGCTCTGCGTTGATCATGATCTAATAACTTCAGAAATGCCTCTTGTTTTCTAATTAAATGACATCACTTATCATGTAACTGGATTCTGGTAGCATTCGTCCATAATACTGTATTTTGTTTAGTGGTCTTTTCTGGAAATCGTCGGAGTTAATCGGTCATTAGCGCACTATACAGTTAAGGTTATTCCTAATGGTTCGGATGTAATGTCGTAACAATTTATTTCACATTTTAAGTTGTTCGTATGAGGAGGTTTATTAAATAAGAAAATACACCATAGTGTTGTCGGACTTTCTTTGGGCTTATGTGTTTGTAGTGATGATTTCTTAAATATAATTTGCTGGGACGAATCAACTAACGATAAATATGTGCGTCTGTACTGTCTGAGTATTTTTCAAACAGATTTTTGTGATCCTTTTATATGAATTATTATTACAAGCTATCTTTTGATAGATGAATAATTCCTTTGCTTTTTACCGTTCATAGATGTATGAATGTTTGTTACTCAGCTTTATGGTATGTGCTTTGCACCTTCGAAGTGCAAAGTACTTCTACAAGACTGGCAGGATTCTAATCCTGTACTCACTGTGGATGGTGAGCAGATAGAAGTAGTCGAGAAGTTCGTGTATCTGGGTAGCTGCATAAGTGCTGGTGGTGGTGTGAGTGATGAGATCAATGCACGTATAGTGAAAGCCAGAGCGGCTTATGCTAATCTTGGCTATCTTTGGCGCCTTCGTGATGTTAGTCTGGCCGTAAAAGGTCGGATCTATAACGCGTCAGTGACAGCAGTTTTGCTCTATGCTTGTGAAACCTGGCCTCTCCGAGTTGATGATGTTGGACGACTCTGTGTTCGATCATCGCTGTCTCCGAAAGATTGCTGAAATCCAGTGGCAACAACATGTCAGTAATGCAGAGGTTCGGCATCGTGTGTTCGGGCACAGAGACGATAATCCAATTGGTGTCACCATCTTGAAACACCGACTTCGGTGGCTTGGACACGTTCTACGAGTGTCGTCCCAGGGAATTCCACGTCGTGCATTATTTGCCGACTCTTAGACTGGTTGGAAAAAGCGGAGAGGTAGTCAGTGTATGACATGGTGTCGGGGTATGAAAGAAAGCTGCAAAGGGCTGGGTTGTGTTGGTCCTTCACGACTCCCTGGTTGGGGTCCGAGAGATGCTGTGACACAGTGGCTAGAGACGTTATCAGGTAGGGCTCAGAATAGAAGCCATTGGGGATCCTGCTGTAACCTTCTTTTACTTTCTTTATATAAAAGTGGCTGTATCTTCCTTAACTGAAAGATTTCTTCTGGTTGTACCTTTCCGTCTCCCTCATTATTATTGTTATTATTATTATTGTTATTATTATTATTATTATTATTATTATTATTATTATTATTATTATTATTATTACACTACCTTACACTAATCTGTACGTTATTATTTTTTTACGCTCCTTACTTTTTTTCCTTCTTCCCTTCAAATTCTCATTGTTTTGTGTGGTGCATATGTATTTGGTGCCCTCTTGTACCAATATTTATGTCTTAAAATAAATAAGTAAATACTCAGCTGTATGCCTGAAGTGTCTTGGTCATGTGCCTGTTGAGGTTTTTGGATTGATTTACTGTTACGTTCTCTACTTGATTACGGTGGAATACGATATACGACTAACGGCACTCAAATGTGTAGAACCTCAAATTCTCAAATCAGATGACAGAAGAAGCAGGGGAAGTGAACATTGGGTAAGAATAAAAAGGTACATAAAAACATGGTTATTTATAGTTATTAGCGTTGAATACAACATCGTTGTGATTCAGCCGATCCACGAGGAGGCAAGTTGTGCTACCGTCGAATCGTAGCATGCCACGTCAGCATTCTAGAAAGCTCTGTCACATTCTGATTGGTTAGAATCTCTCCAGCTTCTTTTCAGCCTCTGGAGGCTTCGTCATGCTTCTCGAAGCCGTCCCAACATTTACCTTGCGAGCTTATTCTTAAATAATATGAGTTGTGACTCAGACGTAATTAGTGATACTTTTAACAACTGACCCGGTAGCTCAGCATTATAACTAAGGACTTGGGAGCATGAGAATTTGCATTTGGACTTGACTAATCCATGTGAACTTATCGTTAGTTCTTCTGGTGAAACTGCAAGGTTCTTCCTGAGGTTTAAGTGTTTCTATCCCTGGTCGATTACTCTAGGAATGATTACTCATTTTAGTGGTCATAGTACAGTTACGTGATTCACAAAGAAAAATACTAATATAAGCTAAGTCGAAATAGGATTTTTCTATGTTGCAACCATATTTTTTAAAATAACTAACGTTTAAAGATGGTTTTACCTGAAGTTATTTCTTACTTAAGATGAGATTTCTTGTTGTTTGGTAGTTTTGGTGTACGCTGGTCGTAATTCCCCTTGTTGTGTTCACTTTACCAACATTTTTTGTACTGGTTTTTCACGAACCTCTGCTTTTATGCTGCTTTCTATCATTATACAGCAGTAATAACAGTTTTTCTCTTCATATTCTTCGTCTTATTTCAGAATATTCGAGTTACATCCAACCTCTATGCTTATGCAGTGGGCGATAGTTTTTTGATCGAACTGCATATACTGTAAGGTCTATTAATATGATCGGTCTAATCGACTTGTTAGTATTAAGGTCTGTAATTTCAAGAAGAATCGACTAGGCTGAAATAGGATTGTTTACTCATTTATTATGTTAGTTTATCTGTATTCCTACATATTTTACATTTCTAGAATGATAAAACTTTAATTTAATGACGAAATTAGGAGCAGGTTGTAGTGTTAAGCCTTACCCCAAGCGCACATGAATTATTTTAGCTTCCGGACAAACCAGTTTATTCATTCTTCTTGAGTCGTATTTTGACCATGTTAGTTATTCTCTGTTTTATATGAGCGTTTATGTGTGTATCACTTATCCCATTCATCACATGTCTACAGCTCATTTTTATCTGGTTACAAATAATATGTCACGTTTTATCAAATGGGTTCGCCTCCTCCTCTTCTCTTTGATTTCCTACTTTTCATTCTGAATGTCTTTTGAGATAAACGAGTGCTTGAAATAAATTTATCCAACCCAACCCGCAGTTGGCCTCTTATTACCACCATCGCACAAACGGGGTTAACCTACGTAACACACGGAGTTAAATATGTTCATAATGTATAACGAATTGGAGTCAGATTAGTGGGCCACTAAAAGGTGATACTTTTTTCTTTGTAATAAACCACAAAGTTCTTTTTACGTGCTTTCAACATCTTGTTTTACCAAAATATATTTTTCTATTTATTCTACTAATTATAGATTATACCGTTCATGTTATATTATATTTTTATCATTGTACCTTCCTGTAGAAGTCGTTATCCATTGTTGTAATCTAATTATACGATAGTATCAATAGACAATGCACTTCAGTATCTTAGTTTTTGTTGTTTATGTACTGAACATCGGTTTTTTTAAAACCATTTCCTCAAATAAACTGAGTGTCCTATCTTCTCTACACTATGAAAAAACTTTTATTTCAGTGAAAATTTATTTAGTCATCTTTTCTCGAATTCAGATGTAGTAGGCATGTTATCATACACCATTTCGAACTTTCTTGCATATTTGAAATATTCCCATATTGTAAATTTAGAACAATTTTGTTTTCGATTAGATCCTTGCATTAAACATTTTACATTAACTTCATGTTATTATCATCTTACTGAAAACCTAGACATTTAGGCTTTTTCCTGTTGGCTCTCCAAACAATTATTTTGCGATACGAACTGATGATAGATTGACTTCGGAACTTAGCTTTTAAATAAATATGTTTAAGTTTATACTGTCACAACATAGAGCGTCTTGTTGCAGAATTTGATTATACACAAAGTATTTCCAATTTGATATTTTTACACTTAGCTAAAGTACCTCTTAAATATTCTTGTCTAGTGCGTGCGTGTCTGTTAGATATAAGAATTCATTTTCTATCATAGAAATATTGTAATATGCATACTTTTTTGCACTAGCACTACTAGCATTTATGCTGCGTAGAAAAAAATTTCAGAGTAATACATTTACTCAATAAATTTATTATTTCATTTGATTCCTACATATTTAGATTGTGGATGCTACTTTCTCTCATGATTCTCGGTGGGTAGCTGTGAGCAGCAATCATGGGACTACACATGTTTTCCCTGTTACTGCTTATGGAGGTCCGATCACTGTTCGTACACACACTCGACCTCACGTTGTGAATCGTACTTCGAGATATCATAGATCATCTGGTTTAGAAGAGTATCATCTAACTAGACCACAACCTGAGAGAAGTGCAACTGAGTCAACTGGATTTAGCGGTAACTCCTCTAGCAATTCTATCAATATTCCGTGCCACATTCCCCAGTCTAGTTCTATGAAACATCCTTATACTATCCGTAGTCAGTCGTCTGGTTCCGCATCTGGTGCGTCCAGAGCAACTTCGAATTTTTGTCAAACTGCACCAATTGCAGGTTTTGCACCTCAATGCCCTCATCTAGGATTCACAGCTTTCATGACTCCTCTCAAGGAAACTACTGACTGTTGTATTAGTAAGTTATATGTGACCATTTTTATAAACAACCTTCCACTGCATTTTTCTATGGATGATTTTATGAGAAATTTCACAGTTTAAAGTATGTAAATGTCTGTCCACTTTTACCTCTTCAACCTCGCCAGTATATTGATTTAACCTCCATTTCTTTTGAGGTTGAGTATATGATGCCTTAAGCCTAATTAATTTGTTAAGTTTAGCGTCATATTTCCCTACATAGACAGCTTTTCGATTTTTTCCTTTATAATTTGTTTATTTGTATAGTTGCTCTTAAGATGGATAAAATCACGTTGAAAAAAGAAGTTATTCATATCTGAATAGTTAACCATATGGTTTTGAAATCGTTCAAATACTTTATTGAAATCTTGAAATCATTAGTATTTTTGGAATTATTTACTTATCTTTTATCTTTGTTATTCACAGTTCGGTAAAGTATACAGTCCTGTTAATGAATGAATTGTTTAATATTTTACAGATAATTAAGATCAACAAATCATTGAGCCTAATTGGATAACGTTACAAATGTGATTGATTGAATTCTGTCAGCTCTGGAACCTTTTACTACTGATTACTATTCAGTGACAGAGCAGTGTTTTTAATCCAGTTTTACAAGGGATCATTCACGACCTGAAAATCTCAACAGTAGGATCTTTTGTTGGTGTTGTCAGATTTCTCCCTTTGATCAGTTTTATAATTCTTGGGGAAGCCAGCATGAAGGTTATCTAGTGAAGTATACAGAAAAATAGTTTGTAAAACTAAATCCTGCAATCATTCTATTACTTCTTCAACATCTTTTTCAAAATGACCAAAAACGTGTATCCATACGATATTACTTACTTACTCCTGTTACCCCTCATGGAGAAGCATAGGCCGCTCACCAGCATTCCCCATCGAACTATATCCTGAGCAATCCTGGTTTTTAGAAGGGGCATCGGCCTCTTGACTTCTGAAGAATCTCAGCTTTAATCATGAGGCGTCATAATTCTTCCTTCAACTCTGAGGGCAGAGTTTAAATGGTTTAATTTGTTTATTCTGATTAGCGGTTTTTTAGCAAGGTTGTTTTGTACGAGATGGGGTTGCTGACCGCATGCCCAACCCTCTTCTTTTACCCGGGCTTGGGACCGGCAGTAGCTCTAGAAGAGCTACAGGTGGAGTTGCTTACGATATCGAAATAGTGATATTCTTCAGTGGAGTGGTTCTTTTTGATTCAATAGAATTAAAACATATGAAAGTTACTATTTCATCTGTTTAGCAATGATAAGTTACTTCCAGAACATACACAGTATTAAAATTTAGTTAAAGCTAGTAAATTCATACCAAGTTGATATGTATCCACTTCAGTTGTCACATAGACAATAGCCTATTCTAGGTTAATTGCTAGAGGTATTTTTGTACAAACGAAAATCTACAATTTTTCCAATAATCAAACCGACGATTTTAGGTATATGGTGTAGCGAGTAATTAGTTTATCAACAGCGTCCTCATTAACTATGAATCTAGTTTTCTGTTGTTTCAGTCGACAAGAAAAATATAAATAAAAGAGCTAAACCTTCTTGAATCCTTGACTTCATTACAACAGTAACAGCATGACACCATAAAAGAGCAGTTATATACAAGCACAATTTAAGAGATCTGTAACTTGACATATCAATTGCAGCTTATGGGGAAGTGCAATAAACTATCCCTTATCTGTTTTCCAGAATAATGACTACCTTCACAACGTCATGAACAGATATCTATCAGATCGATCTACCATCACGAAATAATTCTAAGAACTCGAAAGGTGAATCATTATTGTATCATGCAGAAAAATCTTGAAATTAGCAGTAGGATTTCTAAACTTTTTAGATTTATTATTGTTCATAAATCAGTATAATCGCTTCATCTTATGTCATGCAAATCGAAACAATAAGTGACCGAACAAAGGTAAGTTGAATATTACATTACTTTGAAATAAGTACACGTTAAACATTTACATACACATCCGTAAAGGTTTGTTGACAACCAAAGGACAGAACTGCTATTTAATAAAGATTCAGTTTGTGGATTGGGGTGAATTCCTAGAATTCTGTCTTTCACTGCAATCTGCTATCAGTATATATGTTGACATAGATTCAACGTATCAGTCTTTAAGATAGAGGTCTGATATATCCGCGGAAAGTTGGTACTTGCCAAATGAAACTGAATCACACAACGTAATGACGATAAGTGAGGATTTGTTCTACACCAAAAAATAAATCAAAAGCAAATATGAATACAACAACCTTTGTACGTTTTATTTACATCAATAGTCAGAGTAGCACTGGACACTAATTAATCGGTAACTAAATTTATAAGCACAATTTACTGTATCGTAAGATTGAACTATTATTGCCAATAGATGTAACTATCTTGCTAAGTTATGTAATTGACTCTTATATTATGCCTAAAAGACATAGGAAACTAGATTAAATAAGTTATGTATGTCAGTCGTACTTCAATCAATATTGATTTTCCTTATCATATCAGGGTCAGTTGTTTATGTGATTAGAAATGAGGATCCACATGAAGATAACAAAGTTTATAAAGCAAATCATTTACAAAGGAATGTATCCGGGACTGATCAGTTAGTTAGTGACACTTACGTCCAGTGCCTTAATAATTTCTAAGGAAACTTCACACTCATTGCTTTATGTAGAATATCATATCCATGTAAAGAGTATATCCCGTATGATATTTTCATGTGTTCAAATAGTCCTATATGCATGATGTTTTATAACTACAGAACTAAAAGTATGGTTGAAAAGTGATTTCATTGGACCATCTGTTTTCATTTGATACAAATAACTTAGTGTGCAATCATAAGATATGACAGTATAGGTTTGCGGAGATATGTAAATTTGATTGAATTCATGAACCGATGTAAGACCACCATCGAAAACCTGGAAGCACTGGACGGCCGTTTCGTTTAACTGGGAGACTTTTCAGCAGTGAGGATCTAAGACTTCGCACGAGTGAGTCGAGCCCAAAACCTCTGGTCTCGCGCGCGAACTCGAGAAGCCATGACTGATGGAGCTTAACTGCGTTGAGTGTGAGGCAGTTGCCCACTGGAGACAATGAAAGATGGTCGTGACATGTAGCAGATTGATTGAAATAAGACATTAACAATGTTGGGTACCGGCTCAGTGGTTCAGAGGTAGTGTTCGCGTGTGAGACTGAAACTCCTCAGCTCGATTTCCATGTGTCGGGTCGTGGATGCACACTTCTGAAGAGTCCTATACTAGAACAAAAAGCCTTCCCAATGTTTCCAGGTTTTCAATGATAGTCTAACTTGGATAGGTTCACGTTTTCAATGAATTATAAGATATGATTTAGAATTCCATTCAATTAACTTCTTTCACAATCATCATTTAATTTCATGCAATTAGTTCCCTTTATGAATTTAAATAAAGCCAGAACAAATATTGATGCAGAATGATATGAATTCATTATATTTCATGGTCAGCTGCTTACAAACAAATTACCTAATTTACTAGGTTGTGTTTTATCAACGGGTAGCTACAAGTAAAATCGATGAACCTTGACCGTTATTATATATGGAATACGAGAGTACTGCAGACTTATTTGTTTCAAAGTTATATCTATGCGATACTGTATGTAAGTTTTATACGGATTCAAAAGGAAGGATTATTTTTTAATGTCGAATCATATGTTTTCTAAAGCTGTTGTTAGTAATAAGTTTATGACGTTACTCGTAAATAAGTATATTAGGCTCTATCACAGTTTGTATTTTTTCGTTGATGCAGGTGGGTTAAGGGTCATAATTAATTTATTCTTTTTCATTGAAACTTTTGTATCTAGTGCTTTTGTGTTTTCAAAAGATTGACAAAATTAAATAAAATACCTATATATATATATATATATATATATATATATATATATATATAGGTTTGATGATAAGACTTACCAATTCCTCCTTACATTTTACTTGATACTATTCTGCAGTATTGAAAAAATAAACTGTATTTTCTCTTCTACTGAAATAATAGTAGATGCATTTTGTCTAATGTCATTTGTTTTAGACTATATTTTATGGATTACCAGTGATTACCTCTCTCTAAAACTATTCTCCATACTCTGTATCTCTTAAATGTACCCAAATTTAAACTTTTTCCTTTTTTAGATGAGGGGAGTTCAAATTCTTCGTCGATTCTCTCTGGTGATTCAGCATTGTCTGATGCATCACACTTTTTCACGCATTCAAATCCATTTTCTTCAGAATCATCCAGTAGTCATCTTCATGTTTCTGAACAGCCTACTATGTTGTTTCTAAATAGTGAAGGATTATGTGCTTGTCCACCGAACGCGTTGTATAACACTACTAATTCTCGGTTGCCTCCCTATCCAGAACCTTGTCGAGTTAAAGCTGAAGCAAGATTGAAACCATCTAGTGGTAGCAGTGTGACATCTATTGCTCGAGGCGCCGCCAGTAGTGCTTTTGAAGCCGTAACACCTATGAAAAATATAAATGCGGTAATAGTTAATCGTCACTTATCATCTGTTAAATCATGCTATTCTGATCCTAATCATGTTTACTGCCCTGAAGTTTGCACATATACACAATTACCAGTTAGTGCAGCATCTCGTTCTTCTTTTCATTCACGCAAGCATACTCGGCGTCACAGAAGTGGGCAATCACTTCAAAATTTGAATCAAGATATATCTAGTCCAACAAGTAATAGTGTTAGAGCTGCACGTTTTGGACCTCCTGTATGTTTCCTTCCAAATCAACTTCGTCTAAATAATGTATCTTCAGACTATCGTAGTGACCCGTATGGTAATTCACAAGAACCTTTTATACGTTAACATGCTCTTAGGATTTCTTTGTGTAAATTAGTTATTTTCATTATATTGTGTTCTTTAGTGTGCATACATTTTTTCACTTTCCTACCAAATGAAAGTATATGTTTTGTTAAACGTACTCGGTGGTACCTAAAACAATATAAGTGATGTAATGTGTAAAATATGCTACTTTTAATATCCTATGCACTGAAAGGTTTTGATCACGTACTCAATTCGTGGGAAGATCTAAATTAAACATTGTTAATTTCACTTGAATATAAACACTCTAAGTCAGATTAAAGGCGATGATTACTTGCTTTATGATCCTTTAGACGTATTTCAGTACTTAGTAATTATTAATGTCAGTTATAGTTTTGCATTCTACATCACCATAATAGCAATTGTCATTTAAAAGAAGAATTAAAAGTACCAAAGTAGATACTTCAAGGCTTCGAATTGCCCTTTGGATCACATGTACTAGTAGTATGTAAATAAGCTGTCAAGTACTAGAAAAATGGAGTCAAGGGTTGTAAAAAGAAAATATTGATTACTGGCTGTTAATCTAACTAGTTAAACACTACTACATAATTATTGACATTATGAAGTTATGGTTTTTTGTCACAAGTCTTTCGTATATCATCCTCACTCGACATTACTCAACAGTCTATGACTATTGCATTATAAGAAATTAAATCTTTAACCTTTTGAGTATGATACCTTTGGTCGGTTTTTAGTTGCTTATATCAGTTTACAATGTCGTTACATAATCCTAATGCAATGTTATAATTGAGTTACTGTCTTATTAATAAATTAGTAACTAGAGATCATTAGTTCTCGCTGGATCTTCAGTAAATTTATCTCAGAGATATTCATTGTGGAGGACATAGTTGTTATTTACTCACGGAGAAGTAAAACGTCCTTATTACAATATCTTTTCGGATGACTTGTTGAATATTAAATTCTAATTTTATTTAGACATACTAAACTATTGTTAAATGTTTGTAAATAGTGTAAATTGGCGCAGAGTCGTGTTTAAATGCATAATAGGTCTATGTGGTACAAGTGTTGGGATTGATGCTTAAGGATGAAACTTGTTTCTAACAAATTAAAATTTATGGAAATAATAAATTAGTTTTATTAATAGCAAATTCACAACCTCGATTGATAACCCATGTCCTTATCAATTCTTTGAAGGATTTCAAGTTTTATTACTGAAAAGGTATGTAAGTAGCTAAGTAAAATAGTAAAGGTTTTATACGGTTTTGTCCCAGTTGACTACAAAGCCTAATCAAATTATAGCTATTCTGTAGTAATCAAAAATATAGTTATAAGTATCGTAAAAAGGATATTGGTATCTCATGTGGTTAAACCACTAGGTAGATAATTAGCATACAACTTAAAAGCAATTGATTTTGCAAATCAAAAGAACTTGACTATTTGTCTTGACAGCTTTAAAGCCATATGTTTTTTGGTGTCTTCATCCAATTTAATACTTTGCAATTGCATCTCTGACAGAAAGTTTCCATTACAATATCTCTTTAAAGCGTCTCGAGTGACCTTTCTTGCTTTATCACCGATTTATCCGCTTTAGCACACACACTTAAACAGGCATATATAATTTGAGATGGCATGAAGAAAGTATTTGTCGAACACTAATTGCGTAAGTTAGAGAACTACGAAGGTAGAAAAATCTGGCTTTGGTGCTTTTTGTAGTACACTGTTATCAGTAAATCAGTCAATCCCATTCCTGTATGATCGATATGTCACATAAAACACTAAAAAGCTTGATGTTTGATCACACGTACCTTTTTAGTCCATGCCACTTTATAAGTAAAATACTAGGTCACCAATCGTAGTTACAACGCCGAGTAATAGATTTTTGTTTGTAATTGATGAACTATGAAGGATGTAGTTGACTTAGGACTATATGATGTTCCCCAAAGAAATATTTTTGTTTGTTCGGGCTTTCCCATTGATATTTCGGACTGCTATTAGTCAATCTCTTATTTGTATATCTTCACTCTGTGTGGATTGTATCGGTATTACCTTAATTCATAAGCATTATAAACATAGATGGATAGTGGTTAGCCGTGGAATATAGGATATGCGTTTTATCCTATTGATGTTCAATCCAGCACTAGAGCCTAATGACGTTCGCTTCAAATATAATCTCATTATCAACTTAGCTACTGAGTCCAGATAACCATTGGTTTGAACAGTGAGGTGAAGTTTTAATTCACTTATATTGGTTGTTTGAATCTTCTTATTGATGTTTACGATTACGACTGATAAGCCTATAAATAAATATCCAAAGTAATTCATCAAAGAATTATTTCTTACCACATCTATCTGACATTCTTAATATGTTCTGTTATGTTTTCTTTTTGTTATTTGATTTCAGTGAACTGTACTCCATATTCACTGTGATAAATTCACTTGCTTTCTTGACTATTTGCTTTACCTTATAGAAGCCTTTACACATTCTTAGTTGGTTTTTGAAAGGTTCCTCTTCTATAAGCATAACATCTATGTTATGTACTACACAAACTTGTTATTTTGTGGCTCTTCCATATATAACCCCATCATCATAAATCTGTTATTTCGTCAAAAATCTCTTCAATACAAAAAACATGTAAAGTAATCTTAAAATCACTTTTAAGGATTCATCAGCTCAAGTTCATTGAGCTTTTTTTCTCCTAGATATATTTATTCCTTTATAAACACACTGTATCCAATAATTTTTTTTCTTTGTAGTCGGAAATTCTCGTGCTGTAGATGCATTATTTATTTTGACAGCCGATCTTCGCTTAATAGAATACGATTTGTGTGTTAGTGCAGATGATACAGCTACAGTCGGTGGGAAATTATATCAGGTATAAAAATCTTATTTTTTCATTTAACTGTTACGTTCATCTTTTCGTAGGTTTGCGTTTAGCCTGAAGATATGTGAGGTTATCTGAAAGAGAAAAAAATAATAGAAAAAGTTCTCTAACGACCCAGTGAGCACGTAGAGTGCACATACATTTAATAACAAGAGCCATTGATAACAATCAGGAATAACATGAGCATGAGATTAAGGCAATCTGATAATCGTAACTAGGAGTTGATAGAGTAACGTAACAGCCTATTTATTTACTACTTTTAATAGGATATTTAATATCAGTTAATTCTTATCGAAATGTCTTTTTCTTCTGTCTGATTTTATTTTCAATGTAAATTATTCACTCTGAACTAATTATTCACTTCTAAAATATGTTTCGGTATATTTATCTGTTTGCAAATAAACGTTCGATTTGATGACTGAAGTTAAACAATAATTTGATAAAGAAATCATCTGTTGAAGCTTAATTTACTCCATTCCTTCAAGTGACTAAGTCCATTAAAAAATGTCTTTGTTGCTATGTCGTTCTTCCACTGTCAGAACATTATTTCAATCAGTGTTTTTGAACTCTTAAAAACAGATATGCTATAAATGATTCTTTTGGATCTTTGTTCCAGTAATCGGATTAAAAGTTCAAGCATTTTCTTAACTACTTCCATTTGATGAGCTAACTTACTTCATTAATCCCTATTCATAACCACGCATTGGATCGTTGTATTGTATTTCTAATCCTTATTTTTTTCTAAATTATAGACAGTACGATTCACTGTTAAGTCAATTACGCTCGTTGTAACATAGCAAACGTTATGTAATAAAATTTCATTAATATTTGAAATTAAACACATATTTGTACATATATTTATCTTCGGCCGAAAATGGCATTAACTATATGCATATATAATCATGACTTGTTAATTTACTCAATAAACTTATAATGCGTGCACTTAGGGGCTTAAATCCTGTTTTAGTCAATAAGATTCGGGTTTCTATACTACGTCATATAGCAAGTTAAATCTGAAAATACTACTAGTTTTATTCTCATTAGAGATTTTTTTTTCGATTTTCAGGCTTCGATTATTTCTGATGTGTCGTGTTGCTATATACTTGTGAATTCTATGATTGACTTTTACCCCAAACACTATAATGCTTCATAGTGAAAACACATTTTTCTTTCATAATAGGCCCAAAAGGAGACCTTTTCAAATATATCACGAATATCTACGATTCTGAAGTTGGTTTGTGAACTAGTAAAGATTACAAGCAAATAAACTTAATCTATTACCAAAATATAGTTATCTTTTGTTTTTAGTTAAAAAAACTCGTTAATCGAAGTGCACATACTGACCTTATTTGATTCTCAGTTTATTGTGATTGAGATTCCACTTGTGTTACGGCTTCCATCATGATGAAATAAACTCATATTGTTTCCGTGCTCATTTAAAATTTACGTAAAACAGCATCCATTTCAAATAATTTTTAATTTATTTTTGTGCATAAGGTTGTTCTTATTTATTATGTCCTAATATTTTCCCCTTCATTTATAGGATGGTTCAATTCGTCTAGATTGTGTATCTGTTGGCGAATGGAATTTACATACAGATGCTGTGTACTTGCCTCCATTTCCTAGACAGCATCCACTTATTTTAGCCTCGTCTACACTTCAAGCAAGATGTAAAACAAATAGGCTTAAATCGGACTATGCTTCTAATTTAAAGAGTAATACTAAATTTTAAGCAGATTTATTCATTAAATTAATTGATATTAAATATTTTATCCAATTTAGTATGCTATATTTCTGTCTATTGAGATTAAATGATTCTTATTGTTAACAGGTTACTGCATCGTATCTTACTTAGATCTGTGAATTATTTGTGTACTGAATTATCACTCGTTGATATAAAGTATTTAGTAGATTATTTAATATTTCCAGATTGTATATACTGTAAAAGCTATATATTGTTAACCTCTATGTAAAGTGCATGATCCATAATTTAGATATATCTTATATGTGCTTTACGAACTGAGTAGTTGTCTAACAACAATATTAGATAAGTTTCCAAACATGACTTTTTAGGCAGTGTGAATATGTTTTGATCGAGTTCGTAAATAAGAACAAACCTTAGAATGTTCAATATTTTTTTAGTTTAACGTTTGTTACATATTCTTCACCTTTGACGATTTCAATAATTTACCGTGTTCCTCAGAACTAAGTCATCACTGGATATAGAATAATAAAATGATATTTCTTACTACTTAATTAACTACCAGCTAGCCTAATTATGTGTTTTTCTGAAAGTCCTTGATGAACTGATTGGTTCAGTAAAAGTGATATTTAACGGTAACGTATGGTTCGGAAGTATAAATTCCTTCAAGATTATAAAGTATCATGCTTATGAATGACGACCAACCAGCGCGGAGATCTACTTTCATAGATTCTTGTCATTTTTCTTCAGCCATCTTATTCTTAGCTATCACTTAATAGGTCTATATGTATTTTATGTCGATAATTATCTCTTAAATTGGATTATTACTTTATATATTGAAAGTGTAACATGTGGTCTTTTTCATTATGTACTTATTTCTATATAGGTCTTATTTGCTTACATTTCACCGGTTTTCCTATTTAACTTAAAACTACCTCATATTTCTGAAAACCACTGTACTTATGATCATCTAATGGTTTAGCTTGTTTTCTGAAACTTCTTTAATCATACTCATTTCTTTATGGTAATTAAACAATTATGTTCAGTTGTAAATTTAGAGATTTTCAACTTTTTCAGATCTAATGCTTTGTTACAGTAGTTTGAGAAGAGGATTTTGAGGAGATATTATCCTTGAATCTCTTGGGTTTATAATTAGGTATTTGGCGTTATTATGCTTCAAATGTTAATTTTTATTCCTCATAGATTATTCTTCTAGTCCAAAAACATGAAATCGAAGTTGATTTACAAATGGAATTTTTTCCTATATTTTGCCATTTAAACCTATGTTAAATTATACATTAGTCAATTGTAGTGTCGGCGAATATGTATGTTTACATACACATGTATTTACTATCCGGATATTCATTGCAAAACGTTTATTCTTTCTCAAATTACATTTCTATAGTGGATGGTCGAACTGAAATTTCATTAGAATCTGACAACAATCTGTCGTCCAGATCTACAAATTACGAAAAAGTTATATCAACGTTGAAATCCAGTTTACCCCCAGCTAATAGCAGTCAAGTGAAATCTGGATTGTTAGAAATAAAAACAAACACCGAAGATAATAATAATGATAGTAATAAGAACAAGAATGATAATGATGAAGATGATACAGATGATAATGTCGTCACTCCTGCTGGATGGACTGCTGAAGATGTTGCTTCTTACTGGTATAGTCAAGTTGAAATAACTACACATTTAGGACCTTTACGTCGTGTTTGGATGGGTCCACAGTTTACTTTTCACACTTATTCAAAACAAGTAAGCAGTTGTTTTTTTTCCAAAATTATGCTTATTTGTTCATTTAATGTAAAAAATTAACTCCATTTGATGAGATTGAAAATTTTCATCACAACATAAATTCAGTCTTCCTACTAAAAAGCGAGTTATTCAAGCCTTTGTTCGAAATGTAAAATGTTATGTTTTAATAGGATAAATACAAATTATACTTTTCAAGTAAACCACATACATTCATACTATTAACTGCGATCAAGTTCCAATGAATCAGGAATAACTCAGATTAACCTACTGCAATGAATGGAGAATAAGTTTTACATAAATGACCGTTTGTACACTCACAGTGTTATCTTTTCACCGTAAACATGCGTACTTTTATTTTATTGTAAATCAGACATTGTCGACTATTTATCAAGTAGTTGTGTAAGAAACTCTGAGTTAAATATGGTGGCTATTAGTAGTTGCGTAATTTAATTTTTACGAAGAGCTGTTGGTGACTGCTAAGAGGGAGCATATAAATTTATTACTTACTCAACTCTCAACAGTGGAAAATCTTTTTCCTTTGCATTCTTCTTTATGTTTCTTTCTTATTCAAAATATTGGTTTTTCTACCTGCTAAGTTTCTGCTGTATCTTTTCTTCGCCTCTAGCGATAAATCTATAAACGTATTTCGTTCGTCACACATGGCTCTTAGGCCACAGGAATTTTGTCATTCTTAAACCGTTCAAAACACTAGAGACCTAAATGAATGATTTACAGTACATTTATGTAGTTTTATTAATAACACACAAGTTCACAAAGTATCACAATTCAAAAATAATGAGAAGTACATAACTTGAGTATTTCTGATACAAAGCTTGAGTAGTAAATTTATAGTTAATTAATTGTAGTTGATGAATAGTAAAAATGGCAAAATTAATCAACCAAAAGACAAGTTATAATGTAAACTAATTTTTTTAAAAAAAGATTGCAAAACAATTGTTTTAATGATTACTTGATCAGAAAATTCTGAAACCAATTCACCAAAGAATACTCAATTTTCACAATCTCCCATTAGTTGTGCTGTTTTTAAATGTAGTAAGTCACCATCTTCTGTTTTTAGGTTTAAAATGGATTTACTTAGTTAATTACTCAGTTTATTTACAGCTAAATATTTCTTTGAGTCTCTTTCACTTCATTGACTAGTAATATTGCTATTATGATAGTGTTTCTTACTGAAAAGTTTACCAAAAGGCGTATAAACCTTCTGAAGGGCATTTAGTTATGATTCTCTAGAATGAATAAAGTTAAATGTTGATTTGTTGCATACTATACTAAATAAGAATGTGTTATTGATTGTATACTAAGGAGATAAATAAATTAAGCGAACCACTTATAATAGGTAGTAACTAAGTACTAGCTGATTTATCATACACCTTAACATAAATTAATGACTTGTACTTTCTGTTATAAGCTTAATTAAAAAGCTTTCCCGTTAATGAAACCATTAATGCTCTAAAAAGCTTGGTTTAGTTTAATTTGCTTATTTATTTATTCTCTGAAGAAAGTGGTTTACAATGAGTTACGAAACGACAGGAAATTTTAATTTTTCTACTCATTAGGATATTATAAATATATCATTATTTTTTTAATTAACAATCTACCCAATGCTCATTTCATTTGCAATCATTGGCAATCATACTTGCACTAGTGTTGCAATTTTTTGAAATAGAATAAGTAAAGATACTAGAGACACCTTAGTGATAAGTATATCTCTTTAAAAAGCAGTAACCCAAAGGTTCCTACATTTTATTTTTAAATAATTAATATTCGGAAAAAAAATCAAATTATGGATGAGTTTTAACCAACGGTGAATTTATCAAATATAAAACTGTTGCTATAAAAATCTCTGTAAGTTTTCAAAATATCTTCAATGTCTGTTGGATTATTGCTAATTAAATCTAATTATTTGTATATTCAGGTCTTAAATTGTTTCATTCTATATCCTTTTTTTTGCTTTCCATATTATTTATTTCACTTTTTTCTTCATTTATGTTTCTTCTCTTACTGGTTTCTATATCTTTCTATGCCTTTATAACTTGTAACATTTTTCATCAATATTGTTATTTACTTCAGATCGTACTCTGCTTGCATATTGTCTATTTGTTTGAAATAGTCTGATAAAACGTTAATGTCACGCTGATTTTGTGAATAGATGTATAGTCTGTGATTATTATTTATAACAATATAGTAATCATTTTCTTTTTGTTGAAATTCAAATATCACATATCAAAATAGCTACCTTTCTAACTAGTTAAAATATGACCATGTCACATCGTAAATCCTTTTTTTCATCGAAAATAAAATGTGTATATAAAACAAGCGATATTAGTACTCTCTTACATTTCATGATCATTATTAATTTCATTCGTTCAATATATATAACTTGAAAATGTTGAAACTGTGTTACCTGTGATAATTGCAAGTATTTGATCTCTGATGTTTTTTTGAATCATTGTGTTATTATTTAATTAAACAGTTGACGTTTTACATATTGATAATCAAATTCATTACCAGATAATCCATTTCATTTTTTTTATATTAAAAAAATTTCTGGTAAGAATAAATCACAATTTATTAGAGGTTCATGCTGTTTTTCAGAACATATATTTATGCAATGTGTACACTTCTTTTCAGATCGATTATAAAGAGCTATAATTCTGATAATAGGTCACATGGTGGTCACATAGAGTATACTCAGCCTACCATATTAATCAGTAGCAGTGTCATGTAGGTCACTTATGATTGCTGAGATGGCAACTTTACATTGAAGGTTATACCATTCACATATGTATGTTTATTCAGCAGCCTACTCAAGGTCATTAGAATCATAATTAACAGAAAAAACAAAATATTATGCTGACCAATGAGAGTCAAGCTAGTCAGCGGTTCTTTTAATAATACCTATAGTTATTTTTCATTAGCGATTGCTTTATTTATTAGTCGTGTATTATAAATACTAGAAAGACATTTTATTTTCGAAATTTGACACTCCTTATGACGACTGTCAATTGTTATTCATTTGTTTTCATAACTTAAAACTTAAATAACTGGAAACCGTTTATATATATATATATATATATATATATATATATATATATATCGAAATCAGATGTGTTGTAACCTGAAATGTGTGCATTTTGTCCTGATTATACATTCGTTTGTTTTTGCTAGTTTTAATACTAAAGATGATGATCAAAATCATTGGATTTCATGTTTAGGTTTAGTTGCTATTGAAATGTGATTCTCTTGAATCAGATAAACTTTCTCATTTGAACTGGTGAAAATGCAAGCTTAAAAACTATGATATATTGTTCATAATCTCTAAGTAATGAATTTATGCTGCTCTCATCTTAAACCTAATAGGTATCAAAGTGTTTCTACTTGCCTAGTGATCTTTTAGTTTTAATGCGTGGCTAAATGATGGTGATGATTATTCACATTAAATTATGAAGTCGGTTAATCAATGCCAGGAATTAATACATAGTTACTGTTATAACCTTCCATTTCATTTTATAATCGCATTGAAGAAATGTATACAGTTATTTGCACTTTAAAAATAACAATGGTGCCAAGAAATAGGGGGATTTAACTCCGGTTTTGTAAGTTATTCTTTGAATATATCTTTTATCCCACCTATTTCGTATATTACTGTAGGTTAACAGTGTCTAAATATTATATTATCATTTTGAAATTAATCGAATTCAAATGATGAATATAATTACCTGCCTTACTATTACTACTACTACTACTTACGGATATGCTAAAATATCAAACATTTTAGTGAGGGTATTATTTATTTATGACCTAGTAATGCTTAAATGACTCAGAGAATGTCCACCTACTTACTAAAGCTAATTGAGGGTTATAAATTTGTGTGAGGAATTAGGATTGGGATCAACTGGTGGAAGTTAGGGTTAGGAATTACAGTTGGGGTTTTCATCACGAACTGACATCAGCTATAATGCCAAAATGCTATTTAACCAAATGAATTGATGAATCTGGCGCTAAAATCCAAGACCTACTATCTTTAGTCTGATTTGCTCTTCTATAGATTATGGTCTCCCCAAGAAACTTTTAATCCATGTTATTCACATTTGATTTTGTATCACTATGGATCTGATTTATTTCAAGTGATTTTTTAAAGGTGATCTAGTTTCTTATCAAGTGAAGTACTTGCACGAGGGATAGCTATTTACGGGCTGAAATTCTAGTGTTTGTCTTATAGTCATCAATACATGTCTCCTTTATAATTGCGATTTCTTTTCTTCATATTGTTTGTGATGTAACAGATGTTTAAAATATTTTTTACTCTCACGCGTATTACGATAATGAGACTAATCACGTTATATCAGAACCATGATTTACGATCCATAATAGAGAACCAAATTATTCAGTACAAGTACAGGTAGTCACACTCAGTCCAGATCAGAAATCAATGAAAGGAAATCACATATTTAATAGTCAGTTAACCGTTTCTATTTTGTCCACGCTCAACGGCCAATCATGTTTTACTTTCCCTACCACATATCAGTCTGCATATGCAATACACCTGTGCATTTCATTTACTGTGATGATCAATTTCTTGCGTTATTGTACAGTGTAACCATTTTAGTCAAGTCTATATTTTCATTATTTCTTGTTCCGAATGTCATCTGTGTCTTAGACATTTACCATTGGTGTTCATATGTATTTGGTACATTTTTGAATATTCAAAATATACTTATCTTGGCTGCCAGGATCTCTTTACTAACTACTTGTCGATTTGAAGTTGCTTTTCAACTTTACAAATAAACTTTTACAGTTATATAAAAATTATGAGGAACGATTATTTGAACATAGTAGTGGTGTCCGTATTATCGCAATAATTTGTTTAATCTTGTGTATATTATTTTGTTCAACTTGTAAATTTTGTACAATTCATATCAATCTCAATCCAGATTCAATATTTGTTTTCATTTATTTACTTTTTGAAATTCGTTATTTTCATGTTAGTTCTGATTTTACCTGTATAGATTTGTTATCTAACTTGATTCTTTGTTCTCAATGCGACAATTAATTAGTTTAATACAATAACTTATATATGAAGGTGTATAAAACAAGACCTTTGGTTATCTGTAATTGAGTCTCGTATGTGTTTTTGAATGGATGACTTTTTCTCTAGATCATATATATTTTTTTTGTAGGGCGTATATTTTATTAACCTTTTTCTAATGGTGGTAATTTATCTGTCATTGTTATTTTTCTTGAATATCATGTGTTTCAGCGTGACTGGAGTGGTTGTGATCTACGGCTTTCATCATTCAATAGTTGTAGTTCTTCAGATAATAACAATATACCTAGTACCACACAAATTGGCTCCTCTGGAGGGAGTCTAAAAACAGCATTACATCCTACTCTTTTAGAAGCATTCACATTAAATGCACCATTTATATTGCCGCCTATAGTAGATATGACTAATGAGTTATTAATTAAAGATCGGTATCCTGGCACATTCATACCATCATCACATGGTTCCAATAGTAGTTTAAATATGATTCCATATCAAGGTTCTTCTTCAACATCTACCTCCTCTGTTCATGCTTTTATTCATCCGCATCCTCAACATCATCCAAATATCGCTTTGGCCGCAATTAATCGTAATACCACTTCATCCAAAACAATTATGTTACCAAGGCTACCATCAGGTTTATTGTTGGATTCAAATGCTAATTTCAACAGTGCACAGTTAAGATGGCATAATTCGTCAGGTGAACCAACTCGTCCACTTAGTATTGCTGGTGGTTTTGGACCAAGTGGTGAGGCGATTGTAATTGAAGGTGGTAAGTTGTGATTGTTTTGATAATTTTTATTATTTTCGGTCTTTCATTTTGATATAAGATGTTTGCAGGTGACTAACATAGAATCAAGGTTATTGGACTTTCGATGAAAATCCTTTTACTCTGATATTCCAACATTCTTTAATTTAGCATCACATTCAGAGTCTTTATTAACAAATCCTTTTTGACTCAATTATAAACATGCGTTATATTGATGATAAGTGGTAACAAATATATTCAGATTAATTTTTGCTGAGTGATTGCTAGTAGATACTGAAAAGTAGTTAACATTCCGTAATAACCTGCTAATAGTGTTAAATTTACTCCATCCACCTATCATCTAGAAGTCATTCATTATGTTCACATGTCCAACTTCACTCATTTGGAAGCTGTTATTTTTACCTCCCGATTGTAATTCATTGATGTAGATTGAATTTCTCATAAATGACTCGACTTTAAGCATAGATTTTATACCGTTCATCATATTCAGGTTTTTAAAGCTTAGATTTTCCAGTTATTAAAAGAGTAATGACCCAGACATTTTGTAGATTTCAGTTGAATTATTTGCTTTTTTTAATAGCTAAGCTATTTTTGAATCCACTTCTTAGAATCAGTCACTGAACGATCGCTATCGGTTTATGTAAGTTGCTTTGGTTTCCAATTGTTTGTTTAAAGAATTTCCATAGCGAAGTTATACCAGCTAGAATCTATCTTTGTATTATGCTATATGTGTCTGTTCTTATTGTACTGTTTTTGAAGTAATCGTTACAACTGTTGCAGTTAACTTTATAGCCCATTTATGTTACTTTCTTTTGGTATCTCAATTTTATTATTCAGATTTTGTAAGTAATAATAATTTTCATATTAATAAGGTAAGGTGAATTCACTTCACTAGTTAAGTACAGTTAAGTGTATTAAACTTTGGATTACATATTATATGAAAATGATAGATATCAGCTGTTTATTTAAAACAAAGTGAATAGGCTTAAATGCAAATCTATTAATAATTAAATTATTGGATAAATACAATTAATTCATTTGAACGACATTATCTAATTTCTTTAATGTTTCTGGTCTCATTATTTATAAGTTGTTAACTGCAATTTTTAATATTTTCAGTAAATATACATAATGAATTATGTGTTGTTAAATAATAAATAGATCAATATTTTGTACTGTTTACTTTTTTCCTATAAAGTGTAACATTCAAATTATGTAACAATAAAGTTTGAAATGATTTTTCATTCTTAGTAAATATGTTTATAGTTCTTTCCTTCGTACTCGGAGTAACTTTTAAAATTCACATTAATCGCTTTCATTAAAAACAATTTTTCAGCTCTGGGAGTATACTATTAGTGCTAGAAAGTTCTAATGTTTAGTCTGAATGTTTTTTTTCTTTCTATATTTTATTTAATTCATGTTGTGTTGTTTGTTTGAATCTTCCGATCGATGTTTAGGATTTCAATTGATCAGTCTCTTATTGGCGTCCTGAATTTCATTGCTAGCCACCATCCATCTTTGCTTATCTTTCATTTAGTTTATGATATGAATTTGTTTTTGTTGATTCTGTTATAAAATCTATTTTTCGGTCAATTTGTGGTTACTTTGAGTTGTATTGTCTAATTAGAAAGTTATTTGTTGTTCACTTCAGAAAAATTCATTGGAAAGCAACAAATTTATACTCTTTTTGCCAATCTACTAGTTTTTTATATATAAAAAAAATCTGAAATAATTAAATAAATTTCACTTGAACAACTTGTTTTGATGGTCGTATGGTAGTAGTATATATTGAAGTCATATCTGTAATTGGTAATTTGGTGGTAATCAGTATGGAGGAGGTTTATGCGGACTACTGACTGTTATTGATATCACGAACAAACCTAATTTTGACAATCATTAGAAACTATAAAGGACTGGACAACCGTTTCGTCGTAGTATGCGACTTTCCGGCAGTGGGCATCCACAACAGCGCCGGGAATCAGGTACATAACTTGCGATCTCGCGCCCAAGTGCTCAACTTTTAGACCATTCAACCGAAATCTAGTGTTGTCTGTATCTAGCTTCAATCAGTTAGCGATATTATTTCACCTTCTTTCATGGTCTTCAGTGGGAACCTGCCTCAATGCCGACACGTTCAGTGGATATCTAACTTAAGTCGGTTCGTGATATCAGCATATCCTAATCGTTATTATCTTTTGGGGATGAAAAGGGTGTTTTTTAATTGTACTTTATATCTATTTCAGTACTAAGACTGCTATGTAACTGAAAGTTGGTTGGTTTTTTAATAATTAATTATCAGTCATAATGCATCTTTACCATATTATCTGTTGTTTTCTATTCCTACTTTGAAAAAGGGAGTTATCAAGACTCAAGTTTGGGTAGCTCTTTATCTAGTTTAGTTGGTCGCGGTACAGATGATTTGGCTCAGTCGATTGCTGAAGCTATACAAGTAGGTATTTTATTGTTTTCTTGATTGTGATTAAACTTCATTTATTTATATATGTTGTATTTGAATTAAAACTGGGAAGAAAGAAAGATTTTCAGCATTAGTTGCAGCTGACGTATATATATATATATATATATATATATATTACACAAGGTTTTCAGGATATCAGTCACTAATCAATTTTTGATTAGATATTTGTTGGAAGAGTCCCCAAAATATTCCTCGTCAACATCCCTAAAGCCCCAGAAGCACTAGAAGACGTTATAACCAATTAGTATTGAATAGAATCATCTCAGAAACACTCAAAAAAAAGAATTATGTAATAGTTTTGGCTGGATGTTGACCTGCACTGCTACTATTTGCTATGGCTCCAGAAATTTCTAGAAGCCTAAGGTCTTGCGTAACTATAAATACACTGTACATAAATTAACCTTTGAGTAGTGCTTTTGCTTCCTGTTACGATTTAATTTACTGTTGGCTTGAACTGTCTTGATCTTTTCAAAATGATAAAGGAAACTAGGTGTATGAAACTGTCTAATTGTCTACTATATTTGTGTGAAGCACTTATGTTTCTAGTTGCTTTATATTGTAATTTTAAGCCTGACTAATCATCGCGTGATTTGTTCGCCAATCGAAATACTGTGCCAAACCAATGACGTTCGATAGGTATGAGCAGCCTAGAGTCCTTATTGGTCCTTTTTCCTCCTAGCCCTCACAATTCAGTCCAGAACACCAATACCAGCTTCCACTATGACAGTCATTTATTTCAAACATACTTGGTTTATATACCAACCGGACAGACCATATCACACCATAAAATAGGAAATAGCAGTTATACAAGATCAAGCCAAAAAGTGGCTGTGAACGTGGGAGACTGTAATCGATAAATTGAACGTAATTTAAGAACGGTAAATCGTACAATGATAATCTATAGGTCAAAATGAAGCTTATAATAAGATTAATATAGATATACATAATCTAGTTAGTGAATAGTCATACAATAAGAATATATACATAATATTAGTCCATCAATAGTTCTCGGAAGTTATCTATAGTTTAATCTTCACTAGGATACAACAGTTTACCTTAAGTTTTCCATTGTTACTCAAATACGACCGTGTACCTGTGAATTCTGTGGTTGGTGGGGAATATTTGAACCGACGTTTTGAAATCAATTGTATGAGGTTTTACAACTCGAAACTCTTCATACTGTACTGTGAACACCTTTTACCGTTAGTAATGTCCACCATTATTATCGAACAAGTTGAATCCACTAGTCAGGGTTTCTTCGGACATTTAGAGGAACTATGTCTCAAGATAATCAACAAATAAACAGTAAATTCATTGTTAATGAACGGTATTGTTGCAGCTTTGAGAGGAAAGGTGGCTCTCTGCACTGCTAAAGCTTTTTAATTAATTTTTCAAGGACATCTAACCATCATTTCTCTTCATTCCAAAGCTCTTCAGTTGTGCTATTTCTTGTGAGGGCTGGGGGTGGGAATTCCAATAATCCTCATATCTGACACACAATAACACCATTAACGAAAGTTATGCACGTAACAAGAGACTTGTAATTCTGCTTTTAAAAAAATTTCAGCAGTTGTGAATATGGAGATCTATTGTTAAGCATAACGTTCAAGTTTAAAACTCTCCAGCTGTTTGTAATTGACCAGGTATATGGTCCCTATGTTTGTGCCAAAAAAACTGTATATTTGAATTGGTGATTCAATGATTTTTTATGCTAAAAACACTCCAATATCAAGTCATTCTTAGTCCTGATAGAATCTTGTCGATCAAGTTGAGATACATGACACTAATCTCTACTCAGTCATCAATCAACACAAAGTACATCTCATTCCTACAAGAGGTCAGTCTCAGCCCGAATACCTCAATAGTAGCGTCTATGACTGTAAAGCTTGGTGACACAGAATTGAATACGCCAGAGAACATCAGTTCCCTTAGTAGTACAGGTATATTTTACTGACGAGTGCATATATATAAGAAAAATTTATATGTGATGACTCTCAACTTTTTCTTTACATCAGTTCATTGAAACAGTTGCTTTTCTAAAGTTGAATACAAAGTACCGAATAATTGAATATGGTACACACTTTGCAGTTATTTATTTCATTGTATATTTTCTTCCTTTGGTGTTTAATGTCTTATTTTTTCTGCCCATTGTTAGCTTCATTGTAAATTATTTTAAAGTAACAGTAGTTTAAACTAAGTCGATTAGTAAATAAGGTAGAGTTCTCGTTTTTGTTTTTTTCTTTCCATATTGATCTATTTAATGGAATAATAATTTTAACGAGAGAATAGTAGAAATTGTGTATACTTATGTCTTAAATGTGGTTTAGTCTTATTGAAAGTAGGACACAGAAACAACCGGTTAATTTTCACATTTCGATTAGTTGTTTATTTTGGGGGGTTTTTAAACCTCGAGTTGTTCCGTATTTCTTGTTGTTGCTATATTTCAGGATGAGGAAACTAACTGGAATGCAGATAAAAGTTCTACCAATCTACCACAATTGTCAAGTGTTAATAGTAATCGTGGTGTATGGCAGTTCAGTGTTAAATCTACTACCGTCTCACCGGGTTCAATTAATATTAGTGGAGGTAGTGGTCCAGGATTATTTCGACTGCCTGATACTGGTAATATTCCAGTTCATTCGGTATTAACAGAAGCTGATTTCCCCAGTCAAGATACTTCACCATCATCAGCTATGGATAATTTTTCACCAAAACATGAATTGTTAGACAATTCATTGATTAAAATGAACAAAAATTCTAAAGAAAATAAAACAAAGAATAACAATACAAACATTATTTATCCAAATGAAAATGTATCATCAAACGTTAATATATTGACACATAAGAGTGCTAAACGGAGACATGGTAAAAAAAAGTCAAAAATGAAGCGTCATCCTGTTGTCATTAGTGATGAGTTCACTGCTCCAACTTCAGCAGTAACAATAACAAATCTTTATCCATCAGGTTATGAAAGTTTAAGCAGTTCACCAATAATTCAAAATTTGTATTATAATTCTTCAGATTTATCAACATTCTCATTACCAGGTGATTTACAAGTCAATACAACATATGACAGTGATAATAATATGATGATGATGGCTAGTAGTCTATCCAATCTTCCTTGTAATCAAAATTCATTGGTCGACAATGAGAAGAAGTCAAGTATGGAAACATTTCAAATTGAAGATAATTCACAAAATAAAGTGGAGAATTCTAACAAGATAAAAAATTTCGATGCTGTTAGTGATGAGAGTGATAAAAATTGATAGGCGAAAAAAATTGGACAAACTGATGAAAGCGATGGATAGAATTATCAACCAAACTATTTATTGTGTACAAAGCATCTGCTGACGCAATATTTAATTCATAATAATTATTATTCATGAAGTTCTGTGTCATTTGAAGAAGCTTTTAATGAATCTTATGGTATGTTGTTCTTGTCTCTCTTGTGTTTTACTTCAAGTTGATTAATTGTAGTGTTATTATTTTATGAGAGGCTGTTTGAAATAATCGATCTTTAAACATGTGCCCTTTTTTTTCTTGACTTATTAATCTAGTTTTAAGACAAGTTGTCAATAGTTTTTATTTGAAGAATTATGCTTAATGCACATAGATAAGTTGAATATATATCTAACATAGGATAAATGATCATAGTGTAGAATGTATTCATTCCTAACTCTGAAATGCTGGTTTCAATCGAGCAGGATACAAAAAATGGAAAAACATGTGTGGAAGAATTAAATAATAATGATTATAGCAACAAAAACAAGAGTAGAATTTATCTAAAATACATTTATGATAAATTGCATACCTCTTAGATATTTCTCGCAGTATTTCTAAAGAACATAAAAGTAAGTTACGACAGGATTACTAGTGATTTCTTGGACCTTATTAAGGAGTTGTGTTGAAGTGACTGGAACTAAACCTCAGTAAATATAACATTTCTATGATGGTTTTAATTTAAATGCTTTTCTGTTTGTTCCACTCAGTCGGACTTTTAGAAAGCAGTTCTAGGTATGAAGTTGAAACAGTGTGCCTACAACGTGTTCAAGATGTTAAACACGATGTTACAATATCTTATGACTGATTGAACAAAGATCTCCAATTTATTTAAACACATTGGGAAACCTCAAGATTACTTATAGTATGTATAGCAAGTACAATAAATCATTCAGTGATAACAAAATATGAAGTAGAACTGTTGAATATTGTCATTCCTGCAAAATGTACAAATCTATTTGGATCATAGTAATTTAAAACCAATATTTTATTAATAGACAGGTACGATAATGCCAAAGTTAATTTGGATTGTGATAAAGTGTAATGGTTTTTAATATATGACCATCAACACCATTCACCTAACTAAAACTACTTAGCAACTTTGAGTAGATTAATTCAGTTCATATTTTCAGATATTTGCTTAATTTCAATTGTCATATGAAGGTATTAACTAGGACTTTAATGAAAAAAACTTTGGACGTGTGTGGATATATGTGAGAAAATTCTAAGAAGGCTAACAGAATCTTGTCAATTTGGAAATTCTTACATTAACTATAGTTACCAGTCTAAAATCATTAGATTTCATGTCAAATCAACGAACTGACGAAGTTATCACTTCAGCATTTACAGCAAAACTACTGACCAAAACTATCATGTTCATCATGCACTAAAATACAACATAGAACGGTCCTTTGACAACTACTCAGTAAAATTCTTCAAGCAAAATACGTACTAGAAAAAATAAAAAGTTATCAGTAGTTTATTTCTTTTCAATAAATAAAATTTAGTCATGAATGATCGCTCTGTTTTAAAACATTTGTTTTACGAGAAACGGTAAACTTTCTGAACTGCTTCACGAAATCTGTCGTCAGGTAAGTATTTATGCAGAATATTTGAAAACAAGCACATCTTATGAAGCAGTATGATTACGGGTAAGCAAGTTATATGAGTTTAACTTACTGTATTCAAATAAAATTATTTACTGGTTAAATAGAGGCGGGGGGGGGGGCAGGATTAAGTCTTCTGAGCAATAAATGTGTAATGTAGCTCGCCATTTCTAACGTCATATGCTGAATTGATGCAGATATTGAGAATAAGTGGATCCAAGTAAAAATGTACTCATGAGCACATTTGTGTTATTCAATAAAATGTAATATGAATATAATAGCTATCTCACTTGCATTCTTTGTGAAGTTGTTATTGACGGTATTTTTTCCTATTACGTTTTTCTCTAGATGGAATAATTGAATAATATAACACACATTTGCATAGGATAGATAATTTTTGTTCCAATATAAAGTCGTATCCTCTTCTATTGAACCATTATGAATCATAACAATAACACGTTCGATTGATATTTCATTTATTCACATCTGTTTATGTACCCAGGTGCTATTTTTCTACTATTTAGATGTTATGCCTCTTTTTCGAATTTAGGATTTCATTTTTATCCGCTCCCTCCAGTTTACATTCTTTCTACAATAAAACACTTCAAAATAGAAAAGAGATAAGCAGATTTCTGTCCATTTTAAAGCCATTCTTTTTTCATTATTTCGCTTCTATCAATCAACCTATTAACACAACAGAGAAGCAAAATACTTCTTGATCATGACTAACGCTGCCGTTATTTGTTTATTTTCTCGAATTGCTTTCTTCCCACCATATTAACAAAACAACACACTCATCCATACTGATAACCTATATTTTGTTTTGCTAGCTTTTGTTTACCATCTTTCTGTTATTTTTGTGTGTATGTCGGTATTATTCTTCGTTGCTTTTTGCCCCCGGTTACGGTTAAAACGTGTAGCCTGATATTCCCTATCTCTCTTCGTATGCACACAAATTTACTTATCTGTAAAATACGTAATGGACAAAATATATTCGAAAGTGTAATTAATATCCGTTGAACGTTTCTTTTCCACTCCTTTATTCCTTTTGTGCGCCAGAATATCTGTTTTACTACATTTTAAGGTTTCTTTAAAAGTATAAAGAGATTGATAATAATATTATTGTCATTCTAGCAAATATATAAAAGATATACAATAACAAGTTTCGTTCTCAGTAAAGTATTTATTTGAACCATGATTTTATGATATGTCATAGACGTGTATTGAAGCGTATACGAATATTTGGTCATCAGCTAGATTGTATAATACAATTAAGAAATACTAAATTTTGAAGGTAGACAGTAATTGATTCGAAGTATGAATCTTTATCGGATATAAAGACGTTTGTCACTTGCTATTTTATCACACTGTGGAAGGGTACTTCTCGAGAGACTTGAAAATGAAACTAAGTTGAGAGTGATCGTTAATAACTGTGGGGTGTGTTATTTTTTAGGTCAACCTCTCTTAGCTCCCCTCTGTCGTAGTGGGGAGACGTCCATTTTATGGGGGAAACTCCTTATTCTCACACCCCTGTAAAGTTGACAGTACAACTTCGCCCTCTGACTTGAAGTTTGCAGCTTTTAATCTTAACGATCTCCAACCCGGGTGGTGTGGTAGGGCTTAATGTAACGAGAGTTTCAGCCAATATAGCTCAGTCAGGTCATCATAATAGGAAAGCTCCAATCGTACGCCAAAGTAGGGGCTACGTCCAGACCCGGACCTCGGGTCAAATGAATATCACACAACAGAACCACTAGCCGAGTGATTGGACATATCAATGGATTAAATTTATTATGTCCATAATGGTGTAACTGCGTTGCTTATTAGATAATTAACTACTAGCCAAGAAGACAAGTAGGAAGCAAAAGACAAATGTTGACCGTCCGCTTAACATTAAAAACTCAATGTGGGTTATGAGTTAATGGTCTTATCATGTGGCAAATCTCCAACGTAATTTGTCAAGATGCTTTTCTTGCAGGTGTAGTACAGTTTCACTGTCACCTAATGTATATTTTTTTGAATTGCTATCTCACAAAATATGTTAACTTTTTCCATATTGGATATACACAGAGAGACTTAGTTTCTGGAACATATAATGATTTGACAAAGTAGTCGAAATCCATCACTAACCAATAAAATCCAAACATTTCCAGGATTTGACAAATAACGTTGGAGCAAGTCATCATTTTAGGTAAATACTTCAAATAAGTTCCATGTGTTTTTACTGGTGTGAAAAAAATGCAGGTAAGAAATGGCTATTTGGTACAAACTGAATATTTTAGATGAGAAATTTAGTGTATGATTAGCCAGAGATTATGTAATTAGTTGCTGAGGTGGTCTCGTCATCAAAGTTAGCTATTCAATCTATTTATTTTAGCCTAAAAATTCCCAACTTAAATTCCTACACCATCAGTAAACGTTGATGGATTTTCCAAAGGTAAAAAGTCCACGACTGTGTTGTTTTGGTGGTATGAAAAAAGGGACGAGAAAAGCTGAACCTCTGCTCATTCAGCCTCTTCCCGTGACTGATGGTAAGACCCTTTGAGAAATGAACAAACGTTCACCGCAGTTGCATTAAGATATGTTGCCTACTACTGACCTAGATTGGTTAACCGCTTGCAGACAGATTTTCCAGTGATTGCATGGGCAAAACCCTCTTCTTGTCCAATTGTCCAACCAACAGGATCAAACATTGCCACCCCTTTACGACCCTAGTTTTCCTTCTCCACCTCCGACAAAAATACTTTAATTTCTTACCGCACCTTCTGAAGCCAGTATACCGACTGCGTGTCGTAATTGACGCAGGCATGCTACTCTAAGTCAGCCAGTCAACCCCCGATTAAAATTTTCCCACCGCGAGCCATGTCGTTTATGAGACGAATGGACAGAAGTGCTCGTTCATTTAATTCCATCCAACCAGTGTAGTTAACTCTATAAGTATCCGAGGATTAGGTGACCTTGTGTGGATGTAGCTAGAAGTGTAACAAGACAGCGTAGTTACTGACTGGATCCCAATCGCCTTATTGGAGTGTATTACTTTGCAGTCATCTCAGGTTCTGTCTCCACCCTACCTACTTTGATTTGAACAACCATGTGGGATTACTGGCCCTCAAAGTTTAAAAAATGGTTTGGAGCTACATCTGCAGACTACTGCTTAGTGAGTTTAATATGACCGTTTAATAGAATCAGTGGAAAATTACTGCTGTTTGTGAGATAAATGGTCGGTTCTATATATATATATATATATATATATATATATATATACAGACACGTCTTTGAAACAGCAACCTTTCCGTATATAGTAAACGGTGATCCTTGAATGTATCACTACTCATCACCTAGACCGGAATTTATTCTGGATAGTTTTTGATGTATAACTTTAGTTTTAGGATTACCTAGAAGTGATCAAATATGGCAAGAGATATCTACTACAATAATTCTGTGTCGAAATATATTCGATGATATAGAACAGATGTTGATAACTACAAATCCGCATCATGGAACAATTTCAGTAATTAGAGCGGTGCCTTGAAAAGCAGAAACAATAGGAAGTGATCTCCTAGATGAGATATATACATGGAAGTGGAGTCGCATTCAATTTCTGCCTTACTAAAGAGCAGATATACTTTAAATTTATCATTATTTTCTTTTCTTGCATTTCCATAATTGTAATTAGGAGAAATTTGAATACATACATTACAGTTTCAATTACATTCACATTAAATCCCAACAGATAGTGGCGATGTTGCAGTCACAAAGTAGAACCTGGTACATATGTACATCTGTTCAAGTCCCCATAACACGGCAAAGAGAGATAAAAAATTTCAGGCTTAATCCCAGAATAGTAGAGGTAATAACAGTACCATCGGTAATAGAAAACATAAGGCATCGAAGATAAGATTCAGGGAAACATAAATATACGAAATGGCCTCGCCTTGAGTAAAGTTTGGTGAAACGTTGCAGGTCGATGATTGAAAAACTCATCTTGAAACTCCTACCCAAAACCACAACCAGAAGAATTATGTACTCAATTTTCGGACGTAAAGGGATTACTGATAACTATTCTGGTGGGATATTAGTTTTTTAACGAAACGCCAACTTAGGCAGCAAAGATATGAAAATATTTGGTAACAATCTGATGTGTGGGCGAAAATGATAATGACTGGCTGTCTGCTTAGTCAGACATGTAGATAGTCTGACAGGTGTCAGATGAGTTATATATTCCCTTATCCTTATTATTATTACTCACTTATTACTGATTGTTCATTGTTGTTGGATTGTGTCGGATTTTGGTGTGGAAATATATTTACGTTGTGGTCAGGTTAATCACGTGTTCTTGACCTGTGTTATGTTAGTCCTGTAGAATGGATACTGGGAGGGCATCTAGTGTAGATATTCGTCTAAGGTAAATTAACGTCCCATACGTGCAAACGTGGAGACCCAACCCTCATAACATTAGACGAAGTAAAACCGAGCATTGTAACACAATCTATATAAAAACAAAATACTTTTGAAATATTTTTAATAAATCACAGCTATTAGCTGGTAGCAGGTGGAAATTATAGGCGTGTTTAAGAAAAAAATTACATAGGATGAGCAATGAGTACAGAAAGACTCGTATACAGGTAAAGTATGCATACATACTTAAGGGTAAACAAATGCCAATGGTCGTGTTAAAATTATCTAATAATGTGAAATATTAAATTGAGAAAAATCACTTTAAGAAACTACAAAAAGTGAACTAAATACCGTCTGATGATCATTGAAAACTGGTAGGATAAATTTGTATCACAGATTTTCAGATTGTGACTCGCTATCGATCAAACACACAGGTGATGTGACGCAGTCGCTGTGGGCCAAACGTGAAACTGTGTTAGGAAGATGCGGTTGTAATGAAGATTTGAACACGGGACACGCAGAAGATGATCCCAAACTTAGTGATGATGTCATGGAGTCAGTTAAATTAGAAACCACATAAGAAGCAAAGAAGTCTTTTAATCCCTGTCCAAGAGCAGAGGATTCACAAATAGCATTTCGACGTCGTCTAAAACGATTACGGAGTACGGCTGGAAGGTTAGGAATAGAGTCAAGCTGTCGAGGCTCAGAAACAGGATTTGTTGGAGCTTCCACAACGGCACCAAGTGTTACAGGAGTAGGTGGCGGGCTCGGAACAGGTGATGTTGGTGGACCAGGAGGCATGGAGGGGCGGATAAACGGAGCTGATACCCCATAACAAGAGGCTAAACTGCACGAGCTACTACTTTCTAGTGAAGGAGGATTTGATGATAAGCGTTCAGGAGAACCATTGAGCGAACTGGTTACCATACAATCAACTTTAGATGGTTCCTCTATACATGGTGACAAACGAGAAGTGTGTGAGCTCCAGTTACGTCGTCTATGTCTTACTCGGCAAGTACTTGGCCCGTATTTCTTGTTAGTGCGTGTTAAAACGTGTGTATCTAGGAATAAAGAAAAGAGATCTTGATCCAACATACTTTACTTCAGTACACAACTTGGTTGTTATCCTTTAGCATATAACAAAAAAGAGCAGTCACATATATTGCTAATGAGACTTGGTAACCCCCGTAAAGGTTTTCATAGCTACATCTGAGGTACAGACATTATCATAGTAGTCATGATCACGCGTTACGGATTTTAACAACCGTAAATTATAACTGACTGGTCTATAAGTAATGTTTACCTAATCTTTAGCGGCGATCAAATCCTATAGATCAGACTGATGAGTCCCAACTGGCGCGAAAGCTGGGTCCAGTGTCGAACCACCAAATGTTAAATCTATCAATTTCACTTGATAACTCTTTATACATTAGGAAACATTTGTTTCGTTATAAATAATGTCCAATTTGAAAACTTATAACACATCCGGCTTACCAGAAGAATCCAAACAAGTAAAAAAGACAAACTTATTGTAGACTTATGTTCATTTTGCTCTATACATATAGGCGCCGACATATTTACCTGAAAATAGAGACTAATATATTCTAAAGTGGCGGAGTTAAGAGTTCACAGGCGATTAGGATCTCCGACGCTACATTATGACCAATACTACAAGGATGGTGTCCTGTTACATTAATAGTAAAATATTGGGCTTTTGAGCACCATAGACAGAATTGAAGTATAAATAAACTTCAAGTAATG